CTTTGTCATAAGACTGTTTGCACTGTTTTGTCAAGTAATTCACACATTTATCTATCCCTTTTTGGATGAATTTGCTACTTTTGGGGTGAGTGGCTATTCCGTGCTTCAAAGAATGTGCTGGATTGTAGGTAGATTAAAGTTGCATCTTGTGCAATCAGTGGTGCTGCATTCACATTGAATCTGATTTGATCTAAAAGTTGAAAATGAAGAACAAAGAGCTACATTCAGGGGGGAGCTTGAATTTTCCATCCATACCAWGCACACTAAAGCTTTTCTCAAGAAAGCAAAGGGGAGAAGACCTGAAGACTTCATGAAGATGCTTGCGTCATAAAACTTTGGGGGGAGATTGTTAGCATCAAATTGATCCTAATAATTATCTCAAAAAGTTTTATTAAGCAATTGGGGCTAAAGATGGAACATCTGAAGATGCTACTGTGCCAAAACGTCTAAGTCTGGAAGAAGACCAGCCGCTGTGCTAAATCGACCAAGTATGGATGACCAGAGCCTTTGTAAGTAGAACCAGAGCCTCTGGAAGATTCACCAAAGCCTATATGAAGACACCTGAACCAGAGCCTCTGTGAAGAGGACCAGAGCCTCTGGTTGTATTGACCAGAGCTTCTGGAGTTCCAGAGCCTCTGGAGTTCCAGAGCCTCTGTGGTCTGTCTATCCTCTGGTCTGTCTATCCTCTGGTCCTTCAAGACGACTATCTTCAGAATCCTATTCTGGATAAGGCTAATCCTATTCTGGATAAAGCTAATCCTATTTTGGATAAGGCTAATCCTATTCAGATTAGCATGAATTACTGCTTATATAAGTAGTGTTTCAGGTAGAGAAAAATGTATGAGAGCAAATAGAAAATTCTTTGTAAACACATAGATTCAGATACATCTTATGAGAGTCGATTAGGGTTCTTGAGAGTTTGTAATTTTCATTCAATAAAGAAAGCACCGTCGATTTCTATTTCATCTTCTTCTTCTACAAATTTCTCTTGAATTTCCTTATTAAATTGTTCTATTGTCAGATCTGGGTTTTAACAAAAGTATAGTCAAGAGACATACAATTCACGTATAAACATCCCGTAAATAATGGTGATACAAATGAATAATTAGCACTAGAATCAAATAGCACCTTGGCATATACGGAGTTGATAAGAAGGTACTTGTTACCACATCAAGGGTTTCATCTTCCTCTCCTTTTGTCATCTGAAAATATCAGTCCATCGCCCTATTGGACTCACCTCTTAGGATGTTGACTCCCCACGCATATTCAGAGTATTTCCAACCACAGTCAGTCTTGGAGCCTTTAACTGAGAACAATCTGGCTTGATATGGTCAGGGGAATTACAATGAAAACATCTTTGAGGAATTCGGCAATTTCTAGACAAGTGTCCTGGCTCCCCACATCTATAACACCTCTTTTGTTCAAAATTACAGTCACCCTGATGAACATGGTGACACCTCTGGCACGGTCTTTCACCAAATCGTTGGACATGATGATTCTCTGTCTTTACAAATTTTGGTCTTTTATATTCAGTCGAACACCCTTCCCATTTTCTTTTCTCAACCACCTTCTCCTCCCCTTGCATGTTCTTGTTCCTTACTGTTGTTTCGGCAACATCTACTGCTAGTGGAAATGTAGAAGGATTCATGGCAATCACGAACTCTTGTATTGAAGGCTTTAACCCCCAGATGTACCTCTCGACTTTACGAGATTTTGATGAAATATAGTGTTTTGCAAATCGGGAGTGTTCGATAAAATTCTCAGTGTACTCCCTTATCGTCTTATTACCTTGTTCTAACTATAAGAATTCTTCTTCTAGTTGTCTAACGGCCGCTTTTGGAAAAATTGCTCCATAAATCGGTCAACAAATTCCATCCAGGACATTGTTTGCAAAACATTAGGTCTTGCCAGTGATTCAACATCCCACCAGTATAGAGCACTAGACTTTAACATTGATACGAGAAATCTAACTCTATCTTCATATGAACACTTACTGGTATTAAATACAGATTCTATTTCCCTCAACCAACACATTGCCCTTTCACCGGGTCTTTTCTCCTAAGAATGTTAGGGGTATACAGGTTAAAAACATTTTGATGTCGCTCCCTCTGGTGTTTGTAGATTGAATCTGCGGATTTATCTCGACCCTTTCTGTCTCTATCCTGGCTGATAGTCCCAAAATAGATGTCAGAGTATTCCTTAACTTACTCATTTCCTCTGCTAACATGTCCTGAGTAACATACTCAAGGGGTTGCATTGGTTCTTGATTTAGGTTCTCCAGAATTGATTCACCCTAGTCTTCATGAACTTCAGGTTGACTGTTCCTTCCTCTCCCGTGACCCCTTCCACCGCTATTATCCTGACCTCTCCTTCTGCCTCTGCCCGTTGGTAGATTGGTAGGATTGTTTTCAGGTGAACTTTCCCTTTCATCCGGGTTGATAAGGGCGATCCTTTCAGACCTTCGTGAATGACTTGCCATCTGTAAACTTGTAGAATTCAATATTCACATAATCACATTCCCAAATATAATAAGGTAATATCTATCTGTAAATTCATAATTACATTGACCAGTTGTAATTTGAATTCACCTTACATATCGTTCTCTTAATTCTAACGGTTCTACATATGTCAGTGACCCTTAATATGCAAATAATACAGTTTAAATCTAAGCATCATACTAGATACCTAAATCCTTTAAACTCATGCTCTGATACCAAACTTGTAACACCCTAAGATCATCTTTCCATATAAATATATATTTCCATATATGAAGAAATATAATTTACACATTCAGTCACAATATCTTACAAGAGCTATATTACAAAATAGCTAACAACTTTTTCCATAAAACCTCTATACAATATATGAATACATAACAAGTATATAGATACAAAAAAAAAAAAAAAACATGCTAGCCCAAAACCCATGAATACATAACAAAGTATTTGTCAAGAGATTCATTATAATAAATACGGAAGGAAAGTGACGGTGAAGTTTTAAAGGAGTTTTAGCACTTAACCAACTTAAACCCCTCAACTTATAAACTTTATTAAAAAACCACCCCAATTTTTATAACCAAATAACTCGGTTATCACAATTTTTTGAATTCGTGTAATTAAATTCAAATTAACATAATCAAATACAAGATAAACATCTTATTTTAACTATAAAAAATTAAAATATGATTAAGATAATCATTGAGTTTTAACAGAATACTTAATTGTCATCCTTATAAAATTATATTATTAAACAAAAATAAATTACTTTGTTGTTAAATCTAAATTAATCTATAATTAAAATTGAACTAAGAAAATTACACAGGAAACAAGAACTTTTAAATGATTAATTTAATACTAATATCAATACATTTTTTTCAATTTTATATTTCATTCAAAAATAAAAAATATATTATCGTTTTCTAAATCGACAGAAAAAATGAATAAAATGAAACATTAAAATCGAGATGTATATCAACGCATTGCACGAAAAATTTGTTTTTGAAAAAATATTATTTTATTATTTGATATATCTTGTTTATTTGTACCAAAATAAATTTCTTAACAAATTACTTTCCATTTTAAGAAAAAGATGTTTTAAAGGTTAAAGAAGAAACAACGAAACAACCGATTTAACCGACCGAATAAACATTTGTTTTCGAACGATTTAACCTAAAACTATCTAATCTTGTTAGAAGTTGCTATATATAACAAAACAGACCGGTATATACCACACAAAGGGAGGGTCTAACAACAACTTCTCTGTATCTATGCAGATAAATATCTATTTTTTGTATTTATACACCGATGAGCACACGGGAATCCTCTATGACATAACCTCTAGAGCCTGTCGTGTTTGCCCGAGTACGTTGAATACGGTTGCAGCTATATGCGATGGAGTCAACCCAGCGTCGGCTAATTGGTCGTCAGGCGCTCCATGGTCAATGTAACGGTCCGGAAGCACCAACGGCCTCCACTGCAGATATCGACATCAAAGTTCGTAACTTTAACTTTGTGTTTTCTCGAAAGCATGTTTCTAGAATAATCAAATCAAACGGACCCAAAATATCCCACACACAAGGCAGAATGTATTCAGACTAAAAGAATTAAGTACCTTCAAGCTTCCGTCAAGAAGGCCGTCTAATGCCATGAAATGTGCGACATGAGAGCCAAACCCACCGATCGATCCTTCTTCAACGGTGATCAAGACGTCATGCGACTTTGCAAGGGTCCGGATAAGAGCATGATCCAATGGTTTACAGAAACGGGCATCGGCAACGGTTATGTTTAAACCACGTTCTTGTACTAAAGCAGCTGCAGCCATGCAACTCTGAACAGCCGATCCGTAGCCTAGGAGGGCTACTTGCTGCCCTTCGATCATTATTCGACCTTTCCCAATCTATTTTCCACCAAATGAAAAAGAACAGATTTAGTACACTAAACCAAACATTTTCGATATATCTCATTCAAAATAGGGCTTTTTAAGGCCTGGGCCTTCCATAAAAACCCAGACTTTTTGGGCCTGGGCTGGGATTAATCGGGCTTTATCCGAGCCTTGGAGAAAAAGTTGGTCTGATCATGCTTTAGAGCCCGGCTTCAGCTTAGGCCAGGGCTTATTAGTCCCCGGCTTTTTCGGATGCCCGGGCTTATTAGGCCCAGACTTTTTCGGACCGGACCAGATCGGACAGAATTAGGAGTTAATACACTATTGAATGTAAGACATACACCACGGGATGAAGATGAGTGCCATCAACATCAATAATTGTAATTGGATGTGGCAAAAAGGTAAGTTTAGCTTGAAGTTTTCCGAGTACCTCGAGAGGAATGCCTTTGTTGCCAGGCGGCAATGGCACGCCGATCCCGTTTCCTCGTGGGTATCTGAAACAGCTAGGTCGGTCATCAATGGCAGCAGCGGTTGCAACCATGTGAAAAAGCTCGGCCTCATCGGAAGGAGCCATCACCACCATGTTCGGGAGACATGCCATAAATGTGACATCAAACGAACCTGAATGTGTGGGCCCGTCCGCCCCAACAAGCCCCGCTCGGTCCATCGCAAATCTCACCGGCAGCTTCTGCAAATCTACATCATGAACCACCTGTTCACAAACACCAAACAATACCCTTTGTTACAATCTTCTCACGATCAAAATGGTGAACTTGGTTTCCGAAAAACCACGAGAAGGTGACGGTGAGAAGCTACAACATGCCTGATCGTAACCCCTTTGCAAGAACGACGAGTAAATCGCACAAAAAGGCTTAAGGCCTTCACAAGCCAATCCAGCAGCGAAGGTAACGGCATGCTGTTCCGCAATCCCGACGTCGAAGCACCGACTCGGGAACCGGCGAAGGAATAGATTCATTCCTGTTCCACCGCCCATCGCAGCATGGATTCCAACGATCTTATTATCCGCCTCCGCTTCAGCAATCAACGCCTCCGCGAAGTAAGTCGTGTAGGACTGAGTCGGAGCGCTCGACTTGTATTGCGTCCCGGTCGCCGGATCAAACTTGGCCACACCTACAATACAGGAAACAAATAAACCAGTAAGGCTGGCAAACTAGCAACTGATAAGCTGACTAATAAACCAGTAATGTTTCGTAAAAACTAGGTGATAAAGCTAGCTAATTGTTGAAAAGCCGATTGTTAGCTAATAAGCCAGCTAATAAACTAACAACGTTTAGCTAGATGACATGTTGAAAAGCTAATTAGAAAAAATATACGGGGTAACATTGGAAAAAAAGCCTATGGAGTCATTGAAACGCTATTTGAAGTGGCTTTTTAAAAAGCTGTCTTATATGGTTAATCAATAATCTTAAAAATCAAATCAGCCCCCAATTGTTCATTTACCATGGTACTTGTCCGCAGCTTTTTCTGCATACGGGTATCCTCGACCTTTCTCGGTGATTACGTGAATCAGGACCGGACCGGTTGTTTTAGTACTCTTAACCTCTTGGAGAATGGCGACAAGATCATCGATGCTGTGACCATCAACAGGACCAATGTAATATAGACCGAGTTCTTCAAATAATGTCGATCCCGAACCACTAATCATACCACGAGCATACTCATCAACCTTAGCAGCAATTTCGTGCATCGGGCCACCGATCTGCTTGGTAACTTCCTGCATCGAGAATAAACCGTTATATTTTCGTTCATTAGATTAAAAAAAGGTACTTTGAGCATATCTCCAGTAGATTCTCAAAAATTTCTTCTTGTTTTAGAGATTTCAGCATTACTTATAATAATAAATATTTAATACATGGAATGAAAAATTATTCCTCTCTCCTAAATATTTGATGTCAAAAGTAGCTTATAATCCCCAAAATATCCATTTTGGATGATCTGTTGGAGATGCTGTTAAACGTTAATTGTTGTGGATTTTTCTTTATTTGTAAATTTAGAACGAACCTTGGCAACTTCACGTAGTTCCCTAAGAGGCCGGTTAGATTGCAACCGACTAAGAGCGCTACTCAAAGCTCCAACGGGAGGTATTGGGCCATCGAGATTGGCAGTAGGTAACGAGACTTGTTTATTGTCGTTAAGGATCACGATCATATCGGAATCTAAGTAACCAGCATTATTCATGGCTTCATAAGCTTGACCGGCGGTCATAGCACCATCACCTATGATAGCAACTACATCGTTTGTTCCTCCCTTTAAATCCCTTCCCACAGCCATCCCTGCTCGTTTGTTGCCCAAACGAAACAACCATACATCAAGATTCACAAACCGAAGGATGATTTGCAATTAAGGAAGGTAAATAAATCAAGAGCGGAGGTTGGACTACGTAAATGAGACATACAAAGAAAAACGCTGCAAAATACAAACTCTTTGCCGGGTAGGGAATGATCAAAAATACACAACTTATCGATCGGGTCATTTAGCTTACAGGTGCACAATGCTTTATACGAAAGGCAGATGAAAGTCATTGAGTCAAAAAAAGAGATTAAAAGGTGGTGCTCTTAGACATAAATTTTAAAGCAAAAATGAAACCAAAACCAAGCTGAAAATCAAAGATGAAGTTGGTAGAGAGATTAGTAAATTACCTAAACCTGCTGAAATGGTGGTTGAGCTGTGCCCTGTGCCGAAGCAATCATGCTCACTTTCAGACCGTTTGGTGAACCCTGCCAACCCGTTTGTCTGTCTAATTGTGTGCATTCGGTCTCTTCTTCCGGTCAAGATTTTATGTGGGTAAGACTGCATAACACATTTTGATTCAAGAAACAATCGTTTTCAGAGACCCTAATCTATAAATACCATAATCTGTCACCTGATGACCAACATCCCAAAGAATCTTATCTTGAGGAGTGTTGAACACATAATGAAGTGCCACCGTGAGCTCCACAACACCAAGGCTCGAACCCAAATGACCACCCGTCTTAGAAACATTGAAGATCACATCAGATCGAAGCTCATCAGCTAGTTGCTTCAATTCCTACATCAAAATAATGGTAAAACAAACTGTTTGAAATCCCATTTCCTTCACTGAGATGCAAATTAAGATCCAAATTCAAGACCATGATCTTTAACAGAAACATACTTCAATTCGAATCGGGTATTTTTGAGGGTTCCAACGGCTTACAGGGATTTAGAGACATACTTTTGACTTGGTGGTCAAACAAGTCATGACTTCAAATCCAAATTGACATGATTACTTAACGTGTACCCTTGGTTTTATACCAATCTAGTAATATTCTTTTGAAATTAAAGGTATCTATGAGTAAATATACCTTAATGGAGAGATTTTTCATGTGAATTGGGTAGTTGATTGTGTCCAAAAGAGGAGTAGGAGGTCTCTGTGAGTAATACTCACCTCTCTCCGAGAGTGTCGCTTGAAGCCCACCTGGTCTTTTACTTGCCTACTCACAAACAATCAAGATCCAAATCAAAACCCATCCTTCAAYGAATCAAAAAAACTCAAACTAGATCATGAAATTTGAACATATCAAACCTGATTGAAGGGCTTGTGTGAAGATTGAGTGTGTTGCAGATCCGTTCCGAATAAACAATGTCGAAACTCAGGAGCATGCGAAGTAAGTGAACGGTGATTCACCACCTGTCCAGGGAATGCAAAGGCACAAAACGCCATGGCCGAAAAGCTTCGTTTTGCAGAGCGATTAAACGGAATGAAGTAGGAAAAAGGGGGAAAACCCAGAAATGTGTGACCGTACAGGTGACCCAGATAGCAATCGAAGAGAAAATGGAGGTGTTTAAGTGGTGGTTGTTCAGCGGCGATGGAGGTGGCAGAGGTGAAGCCAGTGAGTGCGTGAAAGGAGTTGAATGGAAGGGACGTGGGCAAAGGTTGTAAAAGAACAAAAGGGTGGAAGAAATGAAATCTTAAGCTATTTCTGATTGGTCCACGTCATTGGAAATCACATTATATGGATAGCAACCATTTGATGATAAAATGGTGCATCATCCACCTATAAAATATAATATTATTTTATTTACTATTTTTACTGTTATTTATATTTAAGAACTTATAAATATTGAAATTATATATGTTTAAAAGAATATCTAGATTATAAAGTACTTCAAATTTATTTTCTTTAACCCATTTAATATTTTTAGATTATATATATATATATATATATATGGGGAAAGGTTTAAACGAGAATCCCTGTAATTTACGAAACCATGAAAACAATCTATTAATCTCATATTGTGATAACAATAAAAATTAAAAGAATTTTTAAATTAAAAATGAAATTAAAACAATTCAAAAAAATTGAGAGGCAAAAGGGTAATATTGGAATTCAAGGTGATAGAATTTTAAAAACAAGATCACATTAAACCCAATAATCTGGAAAACATAATGGGCTATTATGGTTATCGCTTATTTCAACATGATTTGGTGTGATTTGGATGTGATATGGATGTGATAATCATGTGATTATCACACAATTATCACAAGGATTCAGCTCGACTAGGGTTAACTTAGGAAGTCGACTACCGATTTGGTGTGATATGGGTGTGATAATCATGTGATATCACTATCATAATCGCACTCGATTTGATCATGATTTCGATCGATTAGGGTCAGACAATCACACATTTAAAAAAAATAATTACCCATTGTTTCGATAGGTTATGATTAGACTATCACACATTTACCACAACGATTACGGGCGAAATCCACTAAACGATTTGGTGTGATATGAGTGTGATAATCATGTGATATCACTATTATAACATCACTTGCGTTCTCAATTTGATCATGATTTCAATCGGTTAGAGTTAGACATTCACACATTTATCGCAACAATTACTCATGGTTTCGATAGGTTATGGTTACATAATCACACAATTATCACAAAGGAAGAGAAGATAGTGGAAACGAATATGATCAATCCAGGGGAAAAAGGGATAATTATAATTAATTAAAATAAAATAAAATTTATAAAAATTATTTAATTACATTACTGCTCTTATTAATTTATTTATATTTAATATAAGTTAATTTATTAATTAAAAAAGTTTGTGGTTATTAGGTTGTTTTCGCGTTCTCGTAAATAACAGGGGTTCTCGTTTGAACATCCACCTATACACACACACATATATATATATATATATATATATATATATAGTTTTAAACAACAAAAATATAAAAAATAAAGTTTTAACTATTTTTGAAAACTTAAATTACCCATATGATGAATTAAGTTTTAAAAACTCACATATTTATCTTTATTTTTTAAGGAATTCTTTTATTTTAAATCTTTTAGTTAGTTTTTAATTAATAAATTATATAGAAAAAAATAGGTTTTTTATTATATTTAATTTGATACTCGTATATATATAGAGAGAGTTGGGTTCATACGAAAACAGTGACTAAATAAAAAAATAAGATAATGAATATGGATCACATAATTTATTAAATAATATCTTAAATAGATAATTCTCAAACTGAATAAATAAGGGAAAAAAATTAAATTAATTATATAAGAGTAAATAATGCATTTAAAATAAGTTTATATAATCCTCATTTAAGGAAATTATTTTTTATTTTAGGCAATATTAAATAAAATACAAATTTCATCACAATCACATGTGATTCACAATTAATTGAATTTTTTTCAAAATCTTTTT